TAAAATAAGAGGTCCTTCCCGATCCTGACGGAGCTTTTGGTGTTGCTCAAGGTCAGTTTACACAGCTGTATAAGTTTTGCGGGATCCCAATTTCTGAGATAGCGGCGTAAAGGCAGCTCCTATTCGTCTTTTCGAAGACGGCTTTAAAATCGACAAACAGATGGTGAGTGTCGATCATTTTTTCACGGGTCATTTCCAAGATTTGGCGCTGACTTACCAGGTGTAAAGCCACACTGGCAAGGTCCAATCAGATAGAACTCTACGATAAATATTCCTCCCTATACCAACCGTTTAAAGCTTCTAAAACTACCAACTCTCGCTAGTCGTAGAGGATGCCGCCTCTAGTGTCGGTTGGGCGGGTGGAGGGCATTATTTGGGCTTATTAGATCAGTGAAATTGCTCTGCTTTTTGTGGGAGCTCGGAAAAGCTTGTGGTAAAATAACAAAAAAAAATGTATTCCTCCATCTTATTAGTGTAGACACCGCTTATAGCCCAGTTAATAACAGTGCGCCGTTTTCTTTTTGTCTTATGCGTTCGGCGCCAATTAGAGACACCTAACCGGCGTAGCCGATGTCACTTAATTAACTTAACTACATATATCCATGTATTCGACTTCGACAATGTACCAAGAACAATAATTCTTCCGCAAAACCTTTCTCTCGAAAATTCATAAGGACGATTTAACAGATGTTGTTATCTTCCATGCCTCCACACCATATAGTAGACCGGGAATAATAAGTCGTCGAGAGAGGACTTTTCTTTTCAATTTTGACTACTCAGTCCAAAGTAGAAAGATTTTGCGTTACACATTAAGGTAGACATTGTGGTTAGCGTTGACGCAAGCTCCAAGATAGACGAAATTATCGAAGGCTTCGAAGTAATGAAGTGCTTTAATTACTTCTTTTATTGCAGGAGATTTTTTGTTTTCTTCACTACTAGACACATTCGCCGCCAGTCTGGTTAGGCTTATAGTATGGTGGTGTCATTTTCTTATCCAGTCGGGTTGAGCTAAACTAAGCTATGCGTATTCGACTAAAAATTATAAATAATTCTTATAACTTTCAAATCGTACCAGCAACCATGGACAGATTCAAGATGCCTAAATCACAATTAGGAACCTACCCCGGCAAACCTAGTCGGCGGCGGTAATAAGTGTGCGCGAGAGCATCAGATTCGAAATCGGTCGTGTGAAAAGAAAACTTCAACAAAACAATTTTAAGCTTAGTTATACCACGTGTAGAGCCTTCTTGGGGCTCTTGCCTATAGAACTCACTTTTTTAACTATCGAAACATTTCGTCATCGAAATGAAAACATATTCTTGCATATATTACCTTTTTCTTGGACTTTTTTCTATTCTATACATATAAACAAACTCTTTATTTCAATTTGAAAAAGAATTGGCTTCTCCACAACAACACCATAATTAACTCCTTTTCCCCAGCGTTTTGGCTTAAGTGTTTAGCATTTCATGAATATCATTTTGCACTTATGAAAAGCACACAGGGGTACATACTCGTTAGTATTTGCATATTTACATAAGGACACAAAATAATGGGTTAATCATTGCAGCCACCAACAGCCACCAAAAACCAATAAACACAGTAAAAACTCCTCATTTAGCCACTCGAAAGTCTCTAAAACACTTTTGACAACCCGTACTGCGTGTACATACATACACATTTGAAGGACGTCGTACATACATAAAAATGCAAATCAAGTTTAAAGGGCAACGAAAGGAGGAAAATTAAATGAATGAACGAGAGAAAATAAAAATAAAAAAAATGAAAACAAAAAATCACACACAAAACCTCTAATCGCATTTCACACCATTTGTGAAGAGTGTTTACACACTGTTGATAATTTGCACTTTGCAAACAAGTACATACATTTGCACATATAGACACATACAAGCATTCATATTCGCACCGCGGTTTGTTACATGTGTAGGGTTATCCATTTCGTGATTTCGAAAGTAATAAGCTGTAAAGTATATCGCTGCTATAAGTGAAAGTGAGGGCGAAGATCCGAATATGTCGATTTCTCGACGCTCTCTCTAGAGCAACCAAAGAATGGCGATTTTTCGAACAATGTGAGAGAAACTTCCCGTCCGCATTGGCTCACGTCTAGGCGAGATCGTGTGATTTGACACCATTGGAGGCAATTTTTTCGGCTTCGCAAAAGACAGTGGATAAACCTTTAACTCTTGGACACTTGAAAACCAACTATCGGCGAGATATGGCTGAGATACTGCACAATACGTATGTGTCAAAAAGTGATCGAAAACTATCGCAAGCAGATTGAAGTTTACAAAAATTTGAGATGCTATATATTAACATTCATTTTCGAAACCTCAAATTGAATAACCCTGTGCAGTGAATTTCATTTTCATCATTTTTGTATTATTTTATTATTTCTTTTTACTTTTTTTTTTGTACAAAAGTTCAATTCAAAGTGTTGGCGTATGAAGTGCCGGCAAATCCAAAAAATCGCGCCACAAAAAAAGGGTAAACAAACAAGTGTTATACGCTGCTTATATGTGTGTATGTACTCGTATGTATGTACATTTATGTGCTTTTAGAGATTTTAATATTAACGCATTTGTAATTGGAAGGTGAGCTGCGCATACACACATGGCACTCTTACAGCTGCATTGAAACACACATACATACATATATGTAATACAAGAATACATAGTACATACATATGTTCATATGTATGCAAAATAAGAATACATATTTACATACTCGTACATATATATTTAGCGATTCTCACCTTTACAGCTATTAAGCTTTTTATCCAGCAGTGCATTTTTTCCCACTTGCCTTGCTACACACAACCTCGCTTCACCTCGTCCGGCATGGCACACTTGGCGACATTTCGCTATGCCAATCAACGTTGTTTGACGTTTAACTTGGAAAAAGATTTCCATGACTTCATAGACTCGCATACACAAATACTATATACTCATATGTATGTATGTATGTATGTGTGTGTGTCACCTACACCTTCACCCTAATACACATTGCTAAGCGCACAATATCCTTTGCTGTTGCATATTCAATCCCGCCGACATTAACAATTTGGTCTGACAATTTCCCTGCACTTCTCCGATACTTGCACACAATTTTCCCCATTTCGACTCGCTGCCCCTGGGCACTCGACTGCTTTGCATTTACTCTGCTGTTGTTGCCGCTGTTCGGGTTGTCCTTTGTGTATGGAATTGTGTGACGTTGCTAATTTTTTTCGAATTATTTTTTCTCGTTTTTTCATGCTTCATCTTTTACCTTTTCCACTCGACACTTTTGAATTGCAGATTCCTCAACTGTTCTCCCTTGGTTCGGTTTACAGATTTGTTTTTTTAATTTTTTTCATTTTTTAAAGTGTCAAATGTGTTGAACGGCTGTAGAGTCAGACAGAGAAGAATTCTTTTAAGTAAATTCTATTTAATTTTATTTTCTTTAATTCATAAAACCAGTGCTTCCAAAACACACAAATTTGTAAGTGAAAAAATTAGCTTTAAATTTTTCTTTGCTCAATATTAATATTAGCGAAAATCGGAAAAAAATCTAAAGGTTTCTTTGAATCTGTTATTATTTGTAATGCAATTTTTCTTCTTCCTCATTGGCGTAAGCACCAGTGCGCCATACGTTTATCCTCTTAGCCATTCGGCACCAATTGGAAATACTAAGTGAAATCACATTGCTCTTTTTTTGATCCTTTCAATGAGGTGAAGGTCCAACTTTTTCTTTGCTTTCGCAAACGAGTTCTGCGTCGAATAGCTTCAGAGTTACTAAACGAGGCAAGCTGACTCTATATCTTCTATGACCCCAGAACTGATCAACTGCTGGCGTATTCCAAGGATTTTGAGGTCCATGATCTCAACATCCGCGCCTTAAGTTTCGCTTTCTCCATACTGAATAACGAAAGGAGGAGAACGGTACTGGTAGTCAATGAAGACCAGACAACTTTGAAGTCGTAGATAATTTTGTATATCTTTGGGCCATCGTAAGCACAAACAACAATTTTAGCCTCGGAATCCAACACAGAATTACTTTTGTGAAGATTGAGTAGACAATTGCAAGTGAAGTCCTCTCTTTATGAACAAAATCTAAACTCTACAAGTCGCCCATTATTTACTTCCTGGTTCCTGGAAAGACGAAATCATCTACAACTTGAAAGTAACGACTCTCAGCAGTGACGTCTCTGCCTTGTTAGCTTACACTACCAGATCCGCCGATCCAATCTCTTCTTTGTTTAATCTGGATAATCCAGGACTAACGACGCGGTTGTTAAAGGTAATTATATACTTATTGATACACGCTCTTTAAGAAGATCAATTATCCATTATATATTCAGTTGTAAAGCTCTCATTATTTCACCGTATCTAAAACCTCGTTTGGCCCCGACTGACTGTGGTGTGATGTGTGTGGATCCTTTTCTTACTAGGCTTTTCCAAGATATTGGCGCATCATTAGTTGTAGGTTTGCGAGGTCCAAGGTCAGTTTGTTGACGATGTACTTTTGTCTTTTTTGCTCGATAAGATATTTATCCAACATCAATTTGCTTTGATTGTGGAATCCCCTTTGTTGTAAATGGGGCAAAAGCCACAAAGTTTGCAAAGAAACACATCTGAGTGACTCAGCCAGTAGATTAACGACCCCCCACCAATTTTTTTTTAATGCGGGCAATTGCTATTTGGACGTCATCACCTGGTATAGGATTTACAGTCATTCTCTCACAGATTAGAGGTTCTGGTTCATCATATCCTGGTGCTTAAGACGGAAATACTACACTTGGCGGTGAAACCAGTATCCTTTCGGCTTTTCGTATTCCACTTCTAAGTTCATTTACTTCTGCTTCCACTCATGAATTTTCTTTCCAAACCCGAGAAATATTATTGCGCTGTCCATTGAATGCATTTATTTTTATATATATTTCCATCTACTTTTAGTCATCATTAAATATTTTAACATAAATCCATCTTACTCTTTCCATACAGCCTTATTATATGTACCAGTGGACGCATACCGAGGCGCCAACCACTTCTGTACCACTCACACCCGGTCGACTGGACACGGTTGCAGTATGGCCGCATTGCAGCACACCAAGCACGGTTGCGCGGATACCGAAGGGCGTACAAGTGGACACCACAGCCGATCTCATATTTCAGCAGAATCTCCGCAAGCGTTTGCTGGCATGCGGCAACCTAACCGAAGTACATGCTGTGGTAAATGAGCTGCTTGCCGTTGGCGAAATGGCACGGCGTCCATCTAAGCGTTGCATTGAGTTAACAGATTTATTGAATGCCAGCGAAGCGACCATTTACGAATGTGAAAAGCCCAGTGCGTTAGACAAGATTGCAACAACTTATACAGCCAGTTCGACAGTGAAAGATGCAGATATACAGACGACACAAATAATAGAGACGGGTACAACAACATGTCCTGCTTGTGCGGCAAAAACGAGGGAAACCACTGATCAGGCAATACAAACCGAGATGGAGGCAGTAGCGAAAGCGCCCAAGGCACCACCGCCTCCACCACCACCATTTGATGCTGGTATAAGTCCGTCGGCTGCACCGCCACCACCACCACCACCTCCGCCTGCACCTCCTGCCCCATCAGCACCTGCGCCGCCACCACCACCGCCTCCACCTGGCATGTGTGCACCAGCGCCTCCACCACCGCCACCACCACCTGCGCTGGCTGGTCCAGCAGCAGCACCACCACCACCAGGTCCGCCACCACCACCACCACCTTCGCTTCCGCCGCTCAATGTTTCAGCTGTACCCCCGCCTCCCCCGCCCGGTGCACCAAAGCCACCCTCTTCCGCTACGCCTGCGCCACTGCCAAATCCAACGGAGGGCTCATGGTTCCATACCACAAATAGTAAGTTTAAACTTAAGGCTCAGTAGTTTATGAGAGATGCTAGCGTAATCCTGTATGTATGTATGTATTTCAGCTCTTCGAAAGACTGCCGTTAACCCGCCAAAACCTATGAAACCCCTCTACTGGACACGCATAGTTACGCCCGCGCCGTTACCAAGACCCCCACCACCACAATCCAGCACTGAGTCTAGCGGTAGTGGAAGCTCACCGGAAGATGCCGTAGACTCAGCTGCGCCGAAAGAAATTTGGCAAGAAATCGAAGAAACCAAACTCGATAATATCGACGAATTTACTGAGCTATTTTCTCGGCAGGCGGTGGTGCCCGTCAGCAAACCGAAAGAGAAAAAAGAGGCGCGCGTAAAGACAATGAAAGTCTTAGATAGCAAGCGTTCACAGAACGTCGGTATTGTGTCGCGTAGTCTACACGTTGATTTCTGTGAGATTGAGCATGCCATTTACCATGTGGACACATCGGTGGTGAGCTTGGAAACATTACAACAGATTATCAACGTCAAAGCGACCAATGAGGAGTTGGAATTGATTAAGGAGGCAGCACAAAGTGACATTCCCTTGGATTATCCAGAACAATTTCTACTCAGAATCTCACAGATCTCAATGTCAACGGAACGCATATCATGCATTGTCTTCCAAGCTGAATTTGATGAGGCCGCTACGGTAATTGCACGAAAACTGGAAGTTGTTACACAACTATCACAGTACTTGATCGAGAGTGAAGACTTGAAGCTAGTATTTGCTATAATACTCACACTGGGAAATTACATGAACGGTGGAAACCGTCAGCGCGGTCAAGCGGACGGCTTTACATTGGAGATCTTGGGTAAACTCAAAGACGTCAAATCGAAAGAATCTCAAACCACACTGTTGCACTTCATCGTACGTACCTACATCAGTAGGCGACGAAAAGAGGGCATTCAGTTGTTGGAGATGACGCTACCCATACCAGAACCTTCGGACGTGGAGCGAGCGGCGCAAGTAGATTTCGATGAAGTTAAACTGCAAATAATGGAGCTGCATAAGAAATTGAAAGGTGAGTACATGAAAAGTTGGGAAAAATTACGCTTCAACCAAGAAGTGTCTGAACTGCGTATATATGCGTTTCTGACAACGCCAGCCTCGAGTTCGCAGACGTAGTGTTGACAAAAATGAATTACACTTCTTTTGTTTCAGCCAACAAGAAAACAACGGAACGCGTAGTGCTCGCCTCAACACCCAACACTTTGGAACCATTCAAGTCGAAAATGGAGGAGTTTATTGAGAGCGCAACGAAAACGATTGATAAACTGTACATAGACTTGGATGAATCTCGCGAAACATTCATCGAGACAATGCGTTTCTATCACTTCACACCCAAATCACGCGCGCTGGAGCAATGTACACCCGATCAGTTCTTCGAGTATTGGACGAATTTCACAAATGACTTTAAGGACATTTGGAAGAAGGAGATAGCCACATTATATGATGACTTGTAAGCTGGTTATTTCACAAAAAATATTACAATACATATTGATTTCAAAATCGCATCTCATCTTATTTCTAGGTTACGCAAGTCGAAACAAATTCAGACACAATCTCGTAAAAGTGTGAAAACTACAAAAGTAAAGCCAGGCGGCCTTAAGGAGCGTATCTTACGATTGAGTAAAAAATAAATTACAGCTTATCAACACAATTTTTATTAATTATTCGAGTGCAAATAGTTGAATATATAAAAAAAAAACATACGTACAGACATATATTTATTATATAGTTGAAAAAAGCATTAATCTAAAATTGTTGCTGCAAATGCTTTTTATGCATATTATATATATATATATTTGTTGCTTTAATGGCGTATTTACTAGCTAATTGAATATTAAATTATTTGCATATACAATATACATACAAACATACATACATGTGAAATCGGCGAAAAACAAGCGTACATATACATATATAGAGAGTAGCCTTATATTATTACATTTAGCCTTTAGACTAACTTAAGTTTATATATGAAGCATTATTTATGTACACGTATGTTCACTTTTTTTAAAGAAAAATCTATGAAAATATTTAATTTAAAATCGTTAAATAAACAAAATTAAACATAAAACCAAATGAAAAGATTTCTTTTAAAATATTTGAGTTCTCTTCTGAAAGGTATTTCGAAGAAACATGACACATTGTCCGCTAAAATAATACAAAAATCCTTTTAATCTGGGGTAAAATAAAAACCGGCACAGAATTGCTTACTTATTGTAACTGAAAATCCATATCTGTTTGAAATGGTGTTATGAAACCGACTTGATTTTGCTTTTTTCAAACAAAAGCATAACCGATTTTCGAATCAGCTGGCATCGCACTTCTGCGAAAACCTTAGTAATTCAATTTAATTTTTATACCAGTTTTAACACATTTGTGATTAATAAAAAGAGATGAAGAGGGAAGCAAGACGCATCTGCAGCTGAGAAGCTGACCGACAAGGGCAATGCTCGAAAATTCTATAAGATGATACGATGACTTACGGAAGGTTTCAAGACTGTAGAAGACTCTTGTAGGACACAAAGAGTTGATCTAACCACCGATGCCCAGAGTATATTGAGTTTATGGGGGGAACACTTCTCCAACCTGCTGAGTAGTAGTGAAAATGGAGAATACGGAGATGATGAACCCGAAACCGCACTCCGTGACGATGGAAAAGACGTTCCATTACCTGACCTTGAAGAAGTTCGGAAAGCAATAGCCCGCTTGCAGTACTATTCAGACATGCTGGTGAAGAGCTGAAAAGGTACATGCATCAGCTACTTTGCAGATTATGGTCGGATGAAAGCATACCAAACGATTGGAGTTTAAGTGTGCTCTGCAAAATCCGTACATAAGGGAACCCCACAGCCTCCGCCATTTACCGTCCTTTATATCGCCTATAATGGTAATGTCGAGCGTATTGTGTGAAAGACTGAAGCCCACCGTCAACAAACTGATTGGATCTTATCAGTGTGACTTCAGACCTGGTAAGTCAACCATTGACCAGATATTCACCATGCGAAAAATCTTGGAAAAGATCCGTGAAAAGAGTAGCGACACCTACCACCTCTACGTCGATTTTAAAGCCGCATTCGACAGCACGAATAGGAGCTGCCTTTGTGCCGCTATGTCTGAGTTTGGTATCACGGCAAAACTTGCACGGCTGTGTAAACTGACCTTGAGCAACACCAAAAGCTCCGTCAGGATCGGGAAGGACCTCTTCTTTTATAAGAGTATACAGCTGCTGGCGTATGCCGATGATATCGACATTATTGGCCTCAACAACCGCGCCGTTAGCACTGCTGTCTCCAGGCAAAATGAAGAAGCGAAGCGAATAGGTCTAGTTGTAAATGAGGGCAAGACGAAATATCTCCTGTCATCAAACAAACAGTTATCGCATTCGCGACCCGGCTGCCACGTCACTGTTGACTGTCATAACTTTGAAGTCGTAGACAATTTCATCTATCTAGGGTCCAGCATTAACACCAATAATAATGTCAACCATGAGATCTGATGCAGATTAACTCCTGCCAATAGGTGCTACTTTGGACTGAGTAGGCAATTGAAAGGTAAAGTCCTCTCTCGGCGAATGAAAACTAAACTCCACAAGTCACTCATCTTTCCCGTCCTGCTATATGGTGCAGAGGCATGGACGAAGACAACATCTGATGAGCGGGCTTTGGGAGTTTTCAAGACAAAAGCTTTGAGAACGATTTATGGTCCTTTTTGCATTAGCAACGGCGAATATCGCAGATGATGGAACCAAAGAACGTATATGAAAATTCAAAGCGAAATGAGCTATGTTTCCCCATCTACGAAATTTGATGTGAAGGGTACATGAATTCCTGAGATTGACTCCACTGCATTTTTTGTATGAGTCTTATTGCTTCTTATTCATATACGTTCTGTGGTTCTCCGTTATCGATCGCGTTGCCAACTACACTCATCAAATTTTCGAATCGGGAATGCAACTCTGTGCATATTTAATTTTTATTCTACTTTTGGGTGACAGGGGCAACACCAGACAAAACAGCTGTTTTTATGTTTCGTGTGGCTATCCGTAATTGAAAATAAATAAACTTCTCTGGACTATAAATTCCATAGCAAGTCTTTTGCGGCATTCATTCGCGACATTACTTGGTTATAAATGCATTTACAAGCACAAAAGCGCATAAAGAATCAAAATATAAGGAAAAGAATCGAGTTGAAATATTGAATACTGAAGGTATGCTTGCTATCTGTTAATTGCGCCTAGAGCCTGGAACATTATACATTAATAATAATTATTATTTAGTTGATTTATTTATAAATAACAAGTTTTTCCTCTCTTTCCAGCGCTCCAAAAATGTCTATCGTATTACGTCGGAAACATGTCCTTAAAGAAATGATGGAAGATGATTTTGAATCACCCACAAAGGATCAACAAATTGTACGTATACTTGGCAGTCGTGGTAATAATTTGCACGAAGTTGAAACTGCCACCGCTGAAAGATTCCTTGTATCAATGCCAAATAAATTCCGCAGGAATATTTGGGTTAAACGCGGTAATTATGTGGTGGTCGAGAACATTGAAGAAGGTGTTAAAGTGAGGGGGGAAATATGTAAGATCCTCACACCGGAGCATGTTAAGGAATACACCAAAGCTGGAGTGTGGCCAAAAGAGTTTGGCAACGATCACGAACAGATTGACATGGATAGCGATGAGAACGGTGATGATCTCTTGATGAGAAATCCGAACAGACCAACCCATGAAGATGATGAAGATGGCAGTTGTACAGATGAAGATGATGATGATAGTAGTACTGATGATGATGGTGATGATGATAGTTGTGCAGATCAAGATGATGATGATAGTTCAGAAAAATCGTGCGATGAGGAAAAGAAAGAAGTAATTCAACATTGAGAAAAATTATTATTTGAACTTGCTGTTGCATTACCGCATTTAAGTGACCTATCAAAAATTCATTTCATTTGGAGCAACAAATTTATGTATGCATTTATAAATATTGTTGTTAATTTTCCAGCGAATAAACACTCAATATTATTTAACCCACTTTAATTGTGCAAAAAATCATTGCACTACGCTCTAATTAGCGTAGTAAATTTAAAAAATTATCAACGTGCGTATTATAAAACGGTAGGTACCTTGTTTGCCTGCAAGTATACAAGTTTACAATTTTTCCAAAATGAGAAAATTTCATAATTTTACTATGATTTTTTCACAATACATATTTATTTGCAATTTCTTTTTTGTTAAATTCTGAAATGTTTTTTGAGATGCAAATATGACTTAAAGTGTAAAATCAGTAAAAAGTGCAAAAGCTCAAAATTTTACATTATTATTTTTTATTTAATTTTAATTATAATGTTTTATATTCGTAAGCATAGCACTGGCGTGTTAGTGTTTCAGATTTCTTTTCCTTTTTTGCTAATTTGTTTTTATGAGTGTGAAAGCATATTTATATTTTTATTTTATCTTATTTATTTTTATCGGATTCAGTGCACTTAATGTATGTGGGCGCATTAGCTGCTCACAACTAACCAAATGTGTCTGAGAACTAGAACATACTCAGTGAGATGAAATAAATATATTTGAAAAAATTTAATGAATGCGAAGTTTGATATCAACTATCAATAAATTTGCGAAATGCTTGCTTTTTTATCTATTTGGAGATGTATAATCATTGTGAGAACTCATCACAAAGTTTTATTTAAATTTTTTTATAACCTCGTCAAGTCGGTAGGTTGCATTTTGCACACAACTTATGCAGCATCACAATAGCACAAACAACAATAAAAGCTTTCATTTGTTTTACAAATAATTTTCCATTTGTATTATTTTGACAAATTTTCATTTTTAGAAAAAAAAAGAAATGCATTCTTAACAACAGTGAAATAAGGACACAAAATCAATAAAAAAAAAATTTTGCTTCATTGAAATGAATAAAAATGCACCATAAAATATATAAATTTAAAATTCTTCATACTGCGTAAGTGATTCGCGAAAATTAATTTAGTTTTGTTGTCGTTTTAACAAATCACAAAGAAGCATAGCACTTAAAAATAGATTAAATAGAAAAAAGAAACATCTATTAATGAGATCTCATTAAGGCGAGCGCATTCTACGTCACCAACGTAACACATGCGTGAAAAGTGGGCGACGAAAGCTATGCCAAAATGCATACAAGCACAAATTTGCCCAAAGACAGGCTTGAACTTATTTCGTACATTCAAATTTACTTATAACGAGTACAGTATTTTATTCCTTGCCATCATCCGATTTTTCAGTGCAAGCCTCCTCCGCACTGCGTACATCTTCGCTTTGTATACCACTCTCGTTAAATTTCTCCTCGGACTCGCAATCTTCCATTATTTGTTCGTGATGCACATTTTGATGCTGTTTTTGTTGTCCTGCACCACAACCCACTGCAACGGAATGTTGTTGATTTTGACTTGCACCACTAAATTTCTGTCTGTCCAAGGGCAACGATGATGGCCTTGTCTTAGAGAATGGAAAATTACTTTGATTCTCAATTTGCGGCGTATGCACAGCAATGATTTCAGTTTGCGTTGCAGCGCTATCGCGTTTTTCGTTGGCGGAAAGAGCATCGGCCACGCCGGCTGACAACAATTTCTTCACATTCTCCTGCGGCAAATTACAGAATAAGGTGAGGCAGTTAAGTATGTCACGCATGGAGCCCTGTAGCTGTTGGACCTGTAAGAAAAAGTGCATTCAAAACACAAGAAAGCACAAATTTATGAAAAGGAAGCTCACCTGACTGGTCAGCATTGTGCACGTCTTGGCCAAATCATGTACAGCCGCAGTAGAGCTGTTATCCAAGCCAGTTACGCGACCGCTTTCCGCCGCCGCGGTCGTATTGCTGCCCTCAATACTTGATGCGGTGGTTGCACCATCACCTAAGCCCGCAGCGGCATTACTAGCTGTTCCAGCGCCACCTTGCATGGTAGAGACCTTCTTCCACAACGCATTGATGGCCTGCATTTGCAGTTGTTGTATTTTACGTTCATTCTCAAGTTGCGCCTTAGTGAGTTCCATATCTTTTGTAAGCTTACTAGCAAATTAAATACATATATGTAAATACAGTACATAAATTGCAAAAAGTGAAAATTAAATATTAATGCTTACTCAATATACTCATGTGTGCGTATCTTGAGTAGCTTTTCGGCAATGTCCTTGGTTTTCTTGCGTGTGCGATAGCCGCGCCAGATCTTTTGTATGACCACGGCGGATGATTCCGTAGCGTGGTTTTGTGAAAGTTGAACGTTCGCACTCACCATAGCCTCTTTTTGTTGTTGTTGTGTACTAAAATATTGAAAATTTTATTTGTTTTTCTATTAGTTTCATAAAATAATTAATTTAATTGAACATTCACCGTTGCGCCGCCTTATTGCGTATTGTTTTCAATTTATCAATATTTATGTGATCACTATCATCGTCTGAACTAATGCCACCCGAGCCGGTGTCCGGCGCAACAACATGCATCGAGTTGCCCGTTAAACGTGACTTCATGTGATTATCTACTTGCGCGTGCGCATGCGCCGCCACCACACGATTCAGATTCGATGCATGGTTATGTTGTTGCGTATTATTTGAAGAGCCGCTACCACGTCTTGGACTCATATGGGGACTGTAGCGTTCCGTATTGCGTTTCAAGTGTGGACTACGAATCTTCGGTGAATTGAGTTTGTTATCTAAAATGATCTCGATATCAATAACAGTCATATTTACAAACAATTGGTGACATTAGTGAGAATGACAAATAATTTGTGAAAGCAAAAAGCTTTTTGAAATATTTCCGAATGCCGAATAGAATAAACAAGTAAATGAATTTGAAAGCAAAAAAAAAACGACATTTAAAGTAAATCACCTTTGTTTTTATGGGTTTTAGAATTTTGCATTTGCGTATTGATTGCATTAACTGTGACACGTTGGGCCACAACGGCGGGACAAACGTCTGGACTCATGAGCGCCTCTGGTACGGGTACCATTTTTGAGGCCGCGGTCAAAGGACCACCAACATTGACGGGCACATTTGCATAGTTTTGATCTGCAAGAAATTAGACAAAGATTGCAGGACATTATTTTAAACTAAAGACTACCCAAACTCACCATTATAAGGATTTGGCGTTATCGTGCGAGGTGTTGATTCCTGCGAATTATTCGTACGTGTATTTATAGTGGTACTAGCGCTGCCAGTTGACGAACCATCAAGACTTTGTGACATTAATAGCGAATCATGCTTGATATTCTCTATTAAAGAAGTAGTCATCGGCGCAGTGTGATTCGCATTATTCGAAACTACAAGTATAAGAAAAAATGCACAAATTAAAAAAAAAAGGAATAAAAATAAAATAAAAGACAACTCACCCGTTTCGCTCGAGGTATTGCCGTGATAACTATTCACCATTGAGTCTGGTGAGCCTTGGCGGCCACTTAAACGCGAAACTGGAATTTTGAATTATTAAAAATTGAAACAAAGTATAAAAATATGAATATTATTGCTCACATCTCGGTGATTGTATGCGACTACTGGTCTTTCGTCGCCCCGTTGAGGGTGAATTATTACTTGATGGATTTGAGTTCTCTGAAATTTCTTCCTGCAGTTGACGTTGATGCTGTTGGGCTTTGCTCAATATTAAACGCAGCTTACGTTCGTTCTCATTTTCCAGCGCTTTACCAATGAGTGGGCAAACAGAACTCAAGTATTTACCTAGTGTCGCTTGTTCTCCAATACGAAATTGTCGTCCGCGTCCTTGACTATAAAGCCATTCTGCTTTAAGGCTGCAAAATTAATTTTTCTTATTATCATCAACGAACTTAATGACGTACCGATAATACCAACCTCTCAATGGGATCGACAGCAAAGCCATCAATCACTTTTAAGCTCATGCACCAGTTTAAAACGAAAGGGCGATGATCGAAACCACTATAGCAAAAATTTAAAGAAATTTTAATATTTTCTGTTAATTCCAATTAAAACTTACTCTGTATTTCCAGTCATCAATATGCATGGATTTTCACTAAGCGTAAGACTATGCAAATTAGACAAATTCGCTAGCGTGCAAATCTCATTTAAATCACTTATACTGTTCTTTGCCAAAGATAAAACTTCCAAAGAAACGGGCAAATATTTATCACATTGACGAAGATGAGTTAAGCGGTTGCCGTGTAGATATAACTCCTAGAGTATAAATATTTTTTTCAGTTTTTGTTGTTTTTATTTGAGGTACAGTTTTGTTTCAATACACTCACCTTCAAGTTTTTCAAAAACGATATATCCGATATACTCCCAATGCTATTCTCAGCCAAATTTAAATACTCTAATTTAATGTTGTTATTTAAGTGTTCGATTGTTTTTATGTTGTTGCCTTCCAAATTTAAATGACGTAAATGTATGCAATCTTTTAATCCCTCAATGGAGAGAATACCATTGAAGGAGAGATTTAGTTCGCGCAGACAATGTAGCCGACAAACGCCGTACATACGTAGCAGTTGGTTTTTGCTTAGAGAAAGCTGAAAATGAGAGGTTGCTAATGTTTTATATTCATAATTTTTTTCCTTAAATTAATAAACTTACAACTTCTATTTTTAGGTAAGAATCTATGTTGTCAATTTTTTGCAATTCATTTTCATCTAGTTTCAGTACACGTACATTTTGTGCATCCTCTTGTTTTGGCACTTTCTTCAGTTGCTTACGCGAAAGATCTAAAGTGACTTTATCGTTCTCCTCTTCGCCTAGAAAGATGGGGAAAAATAAAGAAAAGCGATGAAAGACTACTACAATATAAATTTCTGAGAAAAAAATTTCAAATATTTTTAAATATATTCACAAAATATATAATAGCCGTAACTTTAATTCAATTACAAAGAAGTATGTCAAAATACACTGTTTACAACTGCATGCCGCTTGAGTATTATCCTTAGAATATATTTACATTCATACTTCCTTTATGACGGTTAGACCATAGGTATTAGTTTGTTGTTGTGCGCCTGCGGTCATGTCGCTGATGACGACATCGCTGCTCATTAAAATACATACATACAAATATGTAGGCACGTACGTATGTATAAAAATATACCTGCAAAGGTGCTTTAAACTAAAAATAAATAATGTAGTATTTGAAATCATTAAGTCGAAACAAATCCATTTTAGCTAGCGCACGACACGAATTTTCGTCCTTGAAACACAAAATGGTCTACTAAAAATTTACATTATATACATACATATACAGTAATATTATAGAACAAAAAAAATTGCACAGGACATTATAGAAATCCTGTCGCTGAAATATAACCTACTCATTTTACAATATCCTTGTTATAGCCGTTTTGTAATATGCACTACACCACTAATCGAATGCGTTGAAAATTCCAGCAATTTTTCCTCAACGTTTGAGGAAAATCAATTGCTCGTTTGAATTCACCGTGCGTATGAATAAAATTAAATGCTGCAATTGGTCTCGTTTACACTGTCCGGAAACGGTGACAGCGACTGTAGCTTGTGACAAAGGTGAGCTTCTGCTGCTGTTGTTGTAGCGGGTGGGAGGGTGGTGGTGGTGTAAAAAAAATATGAACACAAACGCGACGGTTTTTCTCCCAATATTTTATAATTGCTTTTGTATCTTCGATCTCCACACTTTTCACTATGTTTCAATTAATAAATCGAATTTATCTTGCAAGATTTTAACATATTTTACAAAGAATTTAAGAGGAAAAGAAAAGTGGAATTTGCAAAAAATTTTTATTTAGAATTTTTCAAATTGAAAATTTTGGCAGCAGTAGCAGAATTTGATTTGTCTCAATTGATTTTTGTATATTTACCGGGTTGCCGCGCGTAAGAAAATAACAAAACTTAAAGCCAGGGTTGACTTTCTGTTTGGTGAAAGTGCTCTTTGACTGCATAAAAAGAGTTGCCGATGCCGTTTTTTATGCCTGGTACATATTGTTGCAAAAATGNAAAAAAAAAAAACAGTTAGCAGAAAATAAAACAGTTTCTGTTTATATTCGTTAATAGTTAAAGAAAACGGCCGATTCAATTGCGTTTTCTCAAAGACAGAATGAGCCTATTTGGAAATCTAGTACCACAGACAACCACATTTTGATTTACCGGCGAAGCGTACTTGTCACATCGTCATTTTCTTCAATGGAGCTTTGTCGCTAATCAGGGACATGTCGAAAAATACATTCGTTTATTAAATGTAATTTATTAAATTTTTGCTGCAGCTGAACAAAACTACGCAGCTTTGCTATTGCCTATTTCCCCAGGTTCTGTCGCGTTAGCGAATCATTTAAGCTATCAACTGCCTTTCCTTAGCCGAGCAAGGTGGCTTATCTAGGAACTCCCCGAATTTTCTCCTCATGCAAGCCCATCTTATCACAAATTACTCAAAGTGTACACGTGGGATTATGTATAACAACGCACGGCCACAGCTGATTTTGACATTTCATATAAGCAGTTGGCGGTATAGTCGATATTTCAGAATTGTTTCAATATAAAATTATTTAAAAATTCTATATAAAACATGGCACCCGCTTTTGAATCACGAACTTTTGTTAATGGCGCAATGTTGCGCAAATTCAATGGCCAGAATGTAAGCATATTTCTGCGTATCGAGGAAGAAGCAGGTACAGATCTTATAGCGTTATCTACAGACAAACAGAAGATTCGCGTAAAGCTGCAAGATACCACCGGAGGACGTACCGGCAGCTGGGTAGAGATTATCGGCAAGCCAATGGGTAGTGATGCCATCGAGGCCAAAGAGGTAAAAAAAAAATAATACATTTTAATATTTTGCTTCGCATTGATCTACCAACCATTGGGAGTGCACAGAATACTAAAATATTTGTTATTATTATTTTTTATTAAAATATACTGATTTTGCTCTTTCATAGGCTATTTTATTTGCTGAGGATGAACCGGAACTTGATGAAGATGCTTACAATATGATGGTTGAATTCCTGAATAATTGTAAGGAGATCTATAGAAGCGGTTAAAGTTTTTCATCTCTAATTAAAATTATAAAATAATAGTTTAAGGGGAAAATTTTTAATACAATAATCGTAAATTCTTTATTTGCAAAATTGGATTTATAAAAAAATAAAAGTGTTGCAGTATTCATGCTCTCGAGCAACTCTCGCCAAAAAAACAATTACTCATTGTCGCTTATTACTCTTTCTGCTTGAATATGGTTGCTTTATATACCTCGTTTACTTTATGCGGCAACCGTTCCAAATCTTCCATGAGTGACATTTCTTCACGCAGGTTATTAAGATACATTCGTTGCAATTTTCTAATCATCGGATTAATTACTTTAGAATTTACAACATCATCTACCGATATGGTTAGTGTGTCGCCTGAGCGGCATTCAAGGAAATCGCCTTTGGAAATTTCAGTCATCACATCCTTCTGACTGGATCGTGCAAATACCTTATCAGTACAACGTTTACATGACCCCGGTGTCTTCTGTAGACCCATCTGCCCAGTTTGTTCTTTTACACGGGAATCTCCCTCAGACAAAGGATCGGGCTCAGTGCTGCACATCTGCTTTAAAGTTTCATCAATAACTTCATGCAACTTGCACTGTGACTTGACCATCTTTCGCAAATCTTGTGAACTCTTTTTACTCACTACGGTTTTCGATGATTTTTGAGATTTATTGCTTTCCTCAGAACCCGGGCCAACTCCACCAATATTCGAATCGGTTTCATATAGATATGCATTAGCATCATTTGGATGGTATTTGTGTTGATTCGTATGACTTGATAATGGTATCGCAAGAGGTGGTTTTGGTTTGGTCGGATAATGGCGATTAAAGTTGACGTTCTCATTGTAGCAGCTGCCGCGATAACTTTCAGCTTGACTGCCATGCCCAGCGAAATGTGGATCATAGAGCATTCGATCTGCATCGCCACCACTAGAACGGTTGGCACGCTTATATTGTTGCTTATAGAGTTCAAAGTCGGGCATTTTATTTGATTGAAACGTGTTTTCCGGCGGGTAATGCTGTTGCGATGGAATTTGCTGAAATTGTGAGAATGTGCAAAATCTTATCATTAAAAAATGTTGAGTAAGTTTTATCGCTTACCTGGAATTTCCCTTTCGTAATATTGTCCATAAAGTGGCTTCTTATTTGCTTGCGATACTCATCATCGTCTTTAATGGGATCCATTGCAAGTTTCAAATTTTAAATTGTTTTACAAAATATATGTATGTGTAATAATAGAGAAAATAAGTTAAAAATAACTGTTTTTTGTATAAAACTGATTTTAAAATTTCAAAAATATTTGCCTGTTATGACTTGTGAGTCTGATGTAAATTATTAGATTCAAGGCAAGCAGACAACAAAGTGGGTTTAATTAAATGCATATTCTCTCTTCATCTCCAGAAAGGTATCTATAAAGTTTGATTTCTCCCTGGAAGTAATAAAAGAAAACAAGGTGGGTCTAATGGAAACATAAACTCTCCATGGACCTCGGACGGGATATATTTTACAAGCTTTTCATAATTTCTGTTGTTTTTGTTGTATCGGTTTAACTGCTTTCTGTCACTGATGGCATCTTGTCAGTCCTGAGGAAGTGAACGACTTAAGTCAGTTAACTTCAGTTATCGTCCATAGCTGACCGTGCATAGTTGTAAGGATTGCTTAATTGGGTGGAATCCAAATTCTTGGGATGATCAGCAATCATCATAAGAGTAGCGAATTCAGAAAATTAAGCAATGGGTTTGCCAGGTTGATGTCTTCCCTCGTTATTGTTTCTATACTACGAGGCTCCCTCCAACAACAGAGGGCGTTTTCTTGACTTTATGTGCCATCGGCTGATTGATTAGCAGGATATTGAAAGCATATGATTCAAAAGAAAGTGTTATCTATTAGATCTTTCCCACATTTTCCCTGCGGGACATTTAAAATAACAACCTGGTCCGCCACAGCCAGCTCCATCACCAGTTCGATGAAAGAGAACTGAATGTCAAAGCCGATGAAGTCAAAATTCCTGATGAAGTTATTGAGCAATACACTCGACGGCTTGTACTCCTTCATCCCGGATGGGACTGTGATTATCACTAAAACAAAAAGCTGCAGCAAATCTTTAAGTCGTTACCGCCCCTAGGCAGAAGACAAAGAAACATTCCTCGCAATGTATAATGAAATCGGGCAGCTGTTCCGCATCGTTTTGGAAACCGGCAAGTCGCAATTAAAGAATCCTTGTAGACACCGCCTTGGAAACTCCTCTTGCAGTTATTTGTATACCATTCGCAAACTGGAAGTTTCCAGTAGGTTATGCTGTGGAAGAAGTATCTGTTGAGAGTGGTTAACATCAGGATCATCATGGAACCTGAAGGGAGCACTTAACTTTAGAGACTCCCCAGCTACGGTAAGGCCCTAAACATCTGCGTAAGCCTGCTTTAATCCTTTTCCAGTGAATGGAATGGCAGACGAAAAGATCGAAGAGTCTCGCGAGCCCCTAGTTATACGGTTACAATTAATGTTTAGATATTCTTGTGAACTAAACTCCTGATTATCCAGACTCGACATATCTAGCGTTTCTGATGTCCTGCCTGCAATGAATCCACTTAGGACCGTGACCATCTATGGGCACGCACATAAAAACTCAATCTATCTGTCAGAACCTTTCGAAACAGTTTGATATTTCAGGCACGGAACTCAGTACAGTAAATTACAAAAAGATTACCACTGAGACCCTTTGACTATCAATAACTTCACGAACTCGTATTCTTCTCCCGATCCAGACACACTAGTTGCAATAAGTCAACAAACGATACTGACAACCTCTTGTACATCGGCTTGAGCCAACACATCTAAGACCACTCCGAACCCATCGAAGCAGCAAGTTTTCATTCTCCTTCCATGGAACAAAATGAAATTGGTATTTTCTTTTGGTTACACCATTTTTATTACAAAATTACGTAATCACAGAGTTTCAATCTTTTGGTCAATTCTTCTCAAATTACAACATTCTCGATATAATTCTCAAAAGCACGCGATATTTGTGAGTGATCTGGGCCTAGCTGCGTGTCGGCCATTATGGCTAAACGATATCGATCACCGAAACGATGAATATTCAAAGATAAACCTGGAAATATACAAAAAAAAAATTAACAAAAAAAAACAGAGTTAAAACAGAGTTGTTTTCCAAATCGATTAAAAATTACTTACAAGTTTTCGATTGCGGCGGTCTAAAAAGCAATACATCCTCGACCGTATGACTCCAAAGAGTTCGGAAGTCCGATGTGGCACCATGTATCTCAGTTATAGTGACGGGAAAATTGTGTGAGAAGAAATTCAAACAAACTTTGGTCAGCACGCGTGGCACCAAAGCCGTCAGCAAATCGAAACGTGTCTGACCCATTGACGCTAAGTAAATCATGATCTGTTTGGCTCGTATGTCTTCGACAATGGTATGCATATGCTGAACCAGCTCAAGGCCAGGCGACTTCATGGGCAATTGCAGAAAGACCACACCGCCAATATGTTCCGCTTTATTGCCAGTATTTTCGGTGAAGTAACCCTTGGCAATGGTGCGACAGGTGGTGTTGAGTACTTTTGGCACTGGTGCCGCATTGTGGTGCATGGCGAAATAATCACGCAATGCGCCAGCTAAACATGCCAGCACGAAATCCGACTCGTGCGCATGTGCGTCGAACCTCTGGCGCTGACGCATTTCGGCGGCGTTTATGGGCTTAGAGAATGAAACGATTTTGCGGCCCGAATAGGATTTCAACTGCAAAATATTTGCTTCCTTAGAGGGCTTAACGAAGAGCTCTTCATAGATATTGACGGGAGCCTTGAAGATTTCATAACATATTTTAAAGAATTCTATTTGCGCATATAACAACAAGGGCAAATATATAGAAATGCGTCCGATATGCGTATGTGTCAGGTGTGTCTGACCTTTGAAAATGAGCTCTCGAATGGCCATCAGCTCGCAGTAGATGCGATAAGGCAGCAGTACCGTGTTGTTGATGTTCACACGCCACAAAAACTTCGTCCACGTTTTAGCTATATTTGTCGGATGCCATGATGTGCGTATCGCCATCCACGCTGTGGGCCATGAGAGGTTGCGCCGATCGATTTCCTTCATTAATAGTGCTGTGAATATCTTCAAACGTCCATAGTTGTCCTTATGCACATTGTAACGTCGACGCAGCTTTTGTCGCAGTTGCATTGTACGCCAATAATCGATGCACACGTTCACAGCGACAATCAGCAATACAGACAACAACTGCGTAACATTAGTGATGTGCACGGGCCTGTAACCGTCGGGTGTTTCGAGCGATTCAAACTCATAGATAAACGCATTCCAAGTGTTCACTATCTGTGCGGTAATGTGATTCAGTAGACGGCGTATGTGTATGGGTTCACGTACGAAGGAGGATAACGCCTGTGGTTTTGTGGCAGCGCCTAGTGGGTGACCGATATTGATGGTGGGCTTGCGTCCATTCTCTTGCAACATTAATATTTCGCTTATATGCAGATCCTCTTCCTCGGCTATGATTAAATGATGTACTTTCACAAGCACATAGTACTGATCGCCGTCCTAAAAAGTATGAGAGATTCATTTATTATGTAATTGTAAAATTAGCAAAAACTGTGTACCATGCTTTGTGACGTTGGTGTAGCAGTGTCGGTGACAGCCTCCGTTTGAGCACCCATTGAACTCGAAGTTGGTATAATTATAACTTGCCACTGTGGTAAATCGGATGGTATATATTTGGTGGCCAGCTCACTCACGAAGTCTTGTATGTTACTGTCGTTAACCGGACGTCCACGATACGTTCGTGCGCTAAGTACAACATGGTTGTTTATATTGAAGGAGCTGGAAATAAAAAATACAATAGGCTTAAGACATTGGCCATATTTTGGGGTCTCTGGAACACTTAATAACTTGAAATTGAAAATTTTGAAATTATCTATTAGCCATCTCAATTATTATTGTGCTCTCAATGGAACAGCCTAATTTACTATCTATCACTTCAACAAGTTTTCTCCGAGCGGTTTAAAATACTTATTTCTGACCGCCAAGACAACCTTCAAGAAGAATCAACAAGAAACCTTCCTCAAAAAATTTCACAACCGTAACTTTGTCTGGTTCGATGTTTAATGACGTCCGTGCTTTTTAAACGCTAAAGCGATTTTCGACCGAGCTGCTCCTTGAATTTGTGGTGCGCGTCTTGATATTTTTCCCTACATAGAGTTTATTTTGAGCCGCCTCTAGCTGATAGTCTTTTTGGGGAGCCTTGGATTTCATCACAAAAATACACTCGGAGGGGTGGACATTCCCAAGAAAATTTAACTTAATTTTTTTTTTTAATTAATTTTCTATAACTTTTGAAAGGTCTATTCGACTTTTTTTTTTTCTGGGTTCCTGAGCATGGCAACATTTTCGGTAACGGAAAAGCTGACGAGCTAGTCAAGTCGATAAGTTATGCGGATGAATTCGATGCGGATTTATAAGCATAGAAGTGCATACACATCCTGTAGGGTAAGGAAATAGATTTGGCCCGAGTTTCATAGGACAAAACTTAAAGGCTTCTTAACTCAAGGAAACAATACGTTGAGCTGCAACAGATCAATTTTTTTTTTTAATTTTTAATTCCAACAGCAGTATGCGGCCAAAGCGGCCGATGGTTCGCGGTGCATACAACCATGCGAAAGGTCATGGGTTCAAATCTTGGCAAGATATCATTCAAAGTTGTAGAAAACTATTTTTAAAATTCAAAATTAATTTTTCTAATTGCGATCGTTCCTCTGCAGAGAATGTCAGCTTCTCCAAGTGTATTTCTACTCCTAAAAAAAGTTCATCAACCGTTCGTAGTCGTATTCTAAGCCGGCCGGGCCACGATTTGTTAGAAAACCAGTCTTAAAAAACAGATAACTTTTCTTATAAAATATAATATTTATTATTTCCAACTCACCTATTATCATTCACCCATGCGTAGTGGCCCCAACAGGTTACCAATTTTTGACGTAATTTCGGAAATCGTAAGTAACCAGCTTTGTTACGTGCATCCGTTAACTTTTCGGCATAATACCGTTTTATTTGATCAAAGCTACACTGACCTTTGATTTGAAGAAGAAAATGAAATATTCCCGCATTGCGTGGCGTATCGATAAAAGTACGAATTTTCTTCGATTTGGAGATGGTGAGTGTTGGGTATTTAATGCTAAGAACATAATTAACCAATTCATCACTGTAGTGGACACCTGAAATAGTCAATCGAAAACATAAGAAAAAGTAATGGAAATTTTTAAATGTTCAAAATTAAAAAAATAAATAATATTTTTAAATAAAATTCAACAGGTATAAAAATTTATAAATTAAATAAAAAATAATTAAAAATTTCCAAACAAAAATATTTTTAGACCAAATAATCGTATATTCATATCTATATATCTTCTAATACTTTTTCTTTTTTATATAAAATTGATAAATATTTCTAAACATGTATATATGTATGTATATTATTGTACGCATTTTCCTCGCGCTGAGTTACGATCATTTCGAAAGATCAAAGAAAGAAGAGGAAGAGAAAAAACATTTTCGAAATCAGCTACTTGCATGCGAATTTGTGAAATTGAGGCACAACAAAGCTGCTTGTTTACAAATTGAATTTGCATAAATTAAAAAAATATACTAAAATAAAATCTTTTCTTTTTAAAAATTTAATTAAAGCAAATATGGTGAATTAAATTTTCTATTACATTAAAAAAGTTAGTACATTTCACATCCTTCACAAATAAATAATTCTTATATTGTATATAATAAAATTCGTTATTCTTTTACATACTCGAAGTCGAAAGAACAATATAAATAAATAAACAAACAAAAATAAAGAAAAAAGAAATCATCTTTTCTTAGTGGACTAGGCACTTTTAGGACATTTCAAATAACCTCCCAAAATTTTTTCACCGTCACCTTCGGGCGCTTGTGGAATTCCTGTGTTATGTCTATATTGGTGGTCACTGAGGCATATTGGACTGGTGTTGTTGTTTTTGCATAAAAAAAACACAAAAAAAAAGCTCAAAACACTATAAAAAACTACTTTTAAAAAAAACAAAATCATGTATTACTTAAATTTTTGTTAAAATTATATGATTATATGATTTAAATACAGGAACATATAAAACTGAATACTTTCCGCCAATTAAATTGCAACGTACAAAAACATAACTACAATACGTTCGAGATGCAAAATAGATAAATAGATTTGGATAGAAAAGAAATTCAAACGTAACGCAGAATTCCAAATTTTCCGAACGGAGAAAATTTCGATTCGTGTCGAAATGCGGAATATGATATGATTAGATGCATGTGCACGCCTCTATACATACATACATCATACATACATATGATATGCATGATAAGACCAACTTTAATAAATCTACTTTGAGCATACTCGTATACCGAACATACACGTATATCTATATATGTATGTATGTATGTGTCGGTGTACACATGTATGTATATGTTTAATTATTTTCCTTAGAGAATTGTGCATTATTGTTTTGGTTGATAAGGAATATTAAATACATAGGAATGTATATGTAGATATATGTATGCAAGCACGTGTGTGTGAGTATATGTAGATACACGTATTTATGATATGAGTATGCAGTGTGTATATTATGTATGTACATATATTATTGTATATTTTTAAACTGTACCGAAAATGTATTAATGTACTACTAGATTTTTCTGATTGTAATTAAACTAGTCCGAAAAAGTATTAAGTTGGTACCAGTCACTAAAGTATTATTTAGTACTTTATTTCAGTTAATTTTACAATTTAGTTGTTTAATTTTCAATACAGATTTTTTTTCTAATTATTTAAAATTTTTTATTGTAATCTTTTTGATGAGTCTAAATAAACTTAAGAACTTCTTCTCAAAATTATTATATATGGGAATTGGGAAGAACCTCTCCGAGCCGTAGAGAAGCTACAATCGTCTATAAGAGTGAGTTCTGATTTCTTCAGACTGGAAAAGGAAACGTTCATAACTCAGCCTCCACGTCACTGTAGATACATCCATAACTTCTTGGTCGTAGATAATTTCGCCTATCTAGGGACCTGTATTAATACAAACAACAATGTCAGCCTGAAATCCAACTCTACGTCTGCCGAGTCGACGTGGGAAGTTTTTGCAAGGAAGCTTTTACGTAAATTTTATGGTCCTCTGTGCGTTGGCAATGATGGGACGATGAACTATACGAGATGTGCGGTAATATTGACATAAATAAGCGAATTAAGAGTCAGGTTACACCGGCTGGATCATGTAGTTCGGATGCACATGAAAACTCAAGCTTTGAGAGTTTTCGTGCAGTATCCACTAGAGGAAAAAGAAGAAGAAATAGAGGAAAGATGAGGAAGAATACTCTTTTAAAATTGCGTAAGCGTAGCCTAGGCCAGTAAAAAAGAAAATGGATAACTGACGAAATTGGGCATAGAAGAACATCCATATTTATATCGGTATTTTTAAATGATGGGAAAATCTCGAAAATTCAGTCCCTAATTTACCATAAAAATCATACCTCTTTAGGTGTAATCGCATTAAATGGAAAAATATCAGTCACAGGAAACAATTTTGGTTTGGTCTCGCGACATCACCTCTTGAGACAAATAGTATATTATATCTAAGAAACCACTCAACAAAATTCAATAAAATCTAATATTTTTAACTCCAATAGTCTAGCCTGAACGCGAATTGAATAAATATGTGTGCAATCGAGCTATAACAACGCCTTTGTTCCATATAACGGACTTTCTACTTTCACTCCTTGTTTGACTCAAAAGTGAATGAGGATTATATATACATAATTGGCGCTTTTTAACCGCTGAAGAGGTTTTCGGCCTTCCTTTTCCTTTTCCAATTTGTGGTTTTGCGTATTGATGTTTTTCCAGCAAATGGAGGCATCTACAGTTAATCCTAAGCCGCCTCGGAACAGCCGATGGTTTTTTATTAGGAGCCTTTATTTCATGTCGGAAATACAATCGGAGGGCTTGACATTCCCTGCCGAGAAGTGACCGCAATTAGAAAATTTAGCTTATTTTTTTATTCAAATTAATTTTTTTATATCTTCTGAATGTTGGTCGTATTTTTTTTTTAACTCTGGTATTCCGAATGTCACTACGCAGTTCTAACCACTCGGTTACCGCGGCCGCGAATTAATAATGACTTTAATCCTTTAAAAGAATGACCTCCATAAGTCCAGGGTAGGCCTGTTATTCTCGATATAGAAGGCATTCTAAGCGATATGTGGAATATAAATATCAGGATAGTATCTAATATTTGTTGTAAACACTTTTTCTTTTTTATTTCATTTACAGGCCTATTCTCACTGTTACCGGTAAAATATTTTTTTTTACTTTTTTAACACCCGAAATTGAATTCTGGCGAATTGGTTACAATGCTTGAAAAAATTTGGGCAGCACTGCTTTTTTCGTCCTTGTCAAATTGAGTTTGCCAGTTGGTAAAGTAAAAAAGTGGAATATTCATATCGTAAAGGAAGACGGTGCACATCAAAATAAATAAGTTTTGTATATTTGTTTATTAAATCATAAATATTTGAACCTAATTATGGAAAATATGCCTAAACGATAAAAAAATACCTGAATGAAAACGCTATCTTCCATATTAGAGGAGCTATTTTTTTCTCGCAAATTTCTTGGCATACGCCCTATTTTACACTTTTTTCTTCATTTTCAATGGATTCCAGGCCTAAAATATGCCTACCCATTTTGGTTTTTATTTTTTTCTCAAACTAACAACACAAAATCAAACAGCAGATTTTTTCGTTACCTCCTATTTCGCTGGTAACAAAATTTACAGGGTGACAGTGAACTCAGAATACGAAATAGTAACAAAATTTACAGGGTGACAGTGAACTCAGAATACGAAATAGTAACAAAATTTACTGAATGGTAAATTTTAATACCAAAGTAAATTTTGTTACCTAGACAGAATAGACCTGTTAATCACATTTTTAATATACAACGCTTTAATTTTTTTCCAAAATTGAAAAAATTTATTCTGTTTGTTTGTTTTGAACTAATCTGAGACTAATTGAGCAGGCGTCAAAACTTAATTGGTTTCATTTGTAATTGTACAATAGTTGTATGAAAAAATAGCATTTGATGAGTACTTAGCCTAGTTGGCATATTAGTTGCATATGAGGTAGTTTTTGATTAGTTCTTTTGCCTGTTGGGTACATACATACATATGCGATTCCACATACCAGACACAAGGTATTATATACATACATGTATATGGATTTCTAATGCATTTGTGTAGTACCTTGTTCCCAGTACTGTCAATTCATTTCTTTTTATTTATATAGTATTTAAATTGTATATTTATATACACATATGTATATTATATATAGATTTTTTTTCATAAGGCCTTTCGCTTATCACCGCAAAGAAAAGACGATTAATGAGTAATTGAAGTAGTTAAAGTTCACACTGACTGACTTTGGTTTTGTTGTTGCTGCGCGATGACGCTGTTCTGGGAAATGTACAAAGTTCATATTGGTTTGTTTATTTAGAGCAGCGAATATAACATTTAAATTTCGCAATTTTAAGCTGACGGTATCTTTCTCTTTTTATTTATTAAAAATAAATTAATTAAAATTAAACAAAATTCTATACACTTTTGTCGTTTTTCTTTCTTACTACATACATAATGAGTTAAGTGATTTATGCAAATAAAAACCAAGCAAATGCTTGTCCTTTCCAGTAAGACTTTTCCAACTAAAAAAGCTCAACTTTATAAACTGTTGTCCCAATGCTTTTAATTTTAATAAAATACACATTTTTTTATAATAATAATAATAATAATTAATAAGGTATACCCAAATATTTTTTTTTATATATATAAATATATATATTAATATTATTTGTTTTGTTATCAAGCATTTACTGTATTTCCCTGCCATTGGCCTTGAACTTTAAATACGAAATACTATTTGATAATTTCAATTTTTTATTAAAAATCTGACTTTTTTTGTTTGATTGCAATTTTTGAAGTCTGTAGCCGGTGCGCAACAATAGTCGCAGCACCTATAAATTAAATAATTCATTTATTTAATAGCTACACATGTAGATTCACTTTTATATGTGTTTTCTCAGTATTTCGTTATCAATTCAATAGTGGACCACAAAAATGTGCACTCACAAGAATATGTATGTGCATGTTGCTTCGTGCATAGAATCATATAGATAAGCGCCTTGTCGTTATGATTTGGGCCAATGTACGATTCTCAATTACTTTCAGCGAGAATTGGTGCCGCATCTCATCAATTACACGTCAAATATTTTCTTCCAAGGCTTCCATCGTCTCAGGCTTCTCTGCGTAGACCAGTGATTTCACATATAATAATAAGATTGGCGCTTTGTAACCGCCGAAGCGATTTTCGGCCGAGCCTTCCACCAATTTGTGGTTTTGCGTCTCCTTCTCCGAACGGCAGTTGGTTATTTTCTGAGGAGTCTTTATTTCATGTCAGAAATGCACTCGGAGGGGTTGACATTCTCTGCCGAGGGGCGACCGCAATTAAAAATTTACTTTAATTTTTTATTTCAATAAATTTTCTAAAATTTAGATGTTAGTGTGACACCAGGATTTGAGCCCAAGCCTTCTGAAAGACAGTACGCAATGCTAACCATTCGGCTCCCGCGGCCGTGACTTTACATAACCCCACAAAAAACAGTCCAGCGGTGTTAAATCGCATAATCTTGGTGGACACAACCAGAGATAATGGGATCAGCAAAATTGAGGATTTTACGGCGTCTCAAAAACAGCTCGCGACAATTTTGTTTATTAACACAACCATTCAATCGAAAATGAGCTTCATCACTGAACAACATTTATTTTTGTGAAAACCTAGAATGGTGGCCAACTCGTTTTGGGCTTATTGACCGAACATGCAATGTACTTGAAGGTCGTTCCCTTTCACAAGTTTCCGTTTACGCCAGTTGGGTTTTCTAAGCGCTCAAACCCAGATACTTACGCAAATTCTTCCATAAAGTGAGTGGGCGCAGCTCTGGCTGTTGCACGCGATAGCGGACGGACCCATTATTCTTCGATACTCTGTTCAACAACAGTAATAACGTTTCGGTGCGTACTGTGCTATGCACTCTCTGAGGATGCACACTATACACTAGTGCAAACTGGGAGCAAAACCGCCCGAATTTCCGACTCTGCTGGGCGATTTTGTTGATAGAAAGTTGGATGCAGCGAGCGGTGCGCCGCGAGAATCTAACCATTATTTTGGTATTAAGTTTGAGCGTTTCGCAAAGTAAGTTTATTCATTATGAAATGGCAAAAAGACAAGCTCCGAAAAAGTACTGCTTGTAAAAATTTGTCGAAAAACCACCGAAAAGCGTGAAATTTTGGTATTCTGCATAAACATGAATTCAGCATAAATTACTGAAAATTATTGTGATCAGAAAGCCATAACATATTCATTCTATATACCGATTTTTTCAGGCTTTGGTCAAAACTCTGACAGAAAAGTGTCTATGATGTTCATACCAAATATCATAAATATTCTGCACACTTAACCATTGACACCGCACATCCAAGAAATCGGAAAACTTCATCATACCCCCCCTTCAAACAATTTTCCAGTTATGAAATTTATAAAGAGGTTTACCCCCCCGATTGTTATTTTGGTATTCTAAGAAAAATGCATTTTTTGAGATGCAAAGGGTGAGATATTCTATTAATAATGGGAAACATTATCAGTTGCGACCATTTTTATGTAAACTTCCATCCCCAAATCGGAAAGTGGCTGCTAGATGACCCCAATAGTTTCACGAATTTCATTTTTGAGGTTTTGAATCGACTTTGACCTGTTGGCGTAGAACTTATCTTTCACGTGACCCCAGAAGAACAACTCACAAGATGTTAAATTTTTTCCCTAAAGGGTTGATGGTTTCGTTGCTTGTGTAGCACGTAGCGCCGTCTTGTTGAAAGTAAACGTTGTCCATATCAATATCATTCAATTCCGGATATAAAATATCATTAAACTTCAGCCTCATTTTCGAAAAAGTAAGGTCCCATGATCCCGCCTAAATCGCAACAAATAGTTACACGTTGAGGATGGAGACGCTTTTCAACAATATGTCCTGGATTTTCCGAGCTCCAGAGGCGACAGTTTTACTTATTGACGTAGCCATCGTTGCGGAAGTGGGTCTCATAAGTCAAAATAATTTATCGATGCAATTCTTAATAATTTTCATTTTAAGGGCCCGATCAGCCGGCTTGAGTTCTTGTATTAACTGAACTTTTTAAGTCTCAAGATCCAAGTCTTTATGCTTACTACGGTGTAATGGCTTTTGTGGTATGCCCAATTCCAAAGAACGACGAGGAATGGACAAGCCTGGGTTTTCTTCAAGACTTTGAGCTACACCAATATATGTATTGCGGTCCGACAAGGTGCCTCATGACGACCGAAGAATTCTTCAAACTAAATACATACCATAAATTTGATTTGGTCTTGAGATGTATAAAGACTTCGGCATGTCCGAAGATAGCTCTTTTTCTTGTTTTTATGTACACAAAAGTTTCTTTGCTTTCATATTTATGTAATTAAGTAGAAAACAGTGAGTTTAAAACAACAAAGACTTAGCTTTAAACACAAAGAAATAATTGCCAAAATTTATTAAAAAAGATCCAAAAAAATTATTTGCAAATGATGATCATGCTCGATATTCAAATGCACACATGATCACCATACTTACATACAAATGACATGAACACCACAGGCATCAGGCAGCACGCAACTAGGAAACATATAAATGTTTTTAGAAATGATTTTACGTGGCGTAGTATTCTAAAAAAAAAATTAAAAATTTTAATTCGTTTTTGTTTTCAACGACATTTTTTCCGAGATAATATTTTAAATTTTTTAAGTAATAATTACTTTTCCATTTTTCACATCACCGCACTCTTCACTCTTTGCCTTAAATGCAACTTTTCCTTTTTTAAAATTATTTTGTTTTATTTTCGGCTTTTTTGTCGCTTGTTTTACTTGTTATTAACTCATTCATTAAATGTATTTTTTTTCGTGATTTCGTTTAATCGTCTTTTGCACTCGTTTTCTTTTTTTTCTTTCGTTTTCACAATATTTCGAATTTTCTTCTTAAACCATTCGTTCGTATTAGTCAGTCCACCACGTTTGAGTTTTGATTTGAAACTGATTTAGCTGCAGCGTTTATTTGATCGCCGGGGGTAATCTAAATATTTACAAAGCCGACTAGCTGCTGTTATCAGGGATCGAGTGTCAAGCAGCAAGTGTCTTCTTATCAGTCGGTACTCACTCTCCGTTGAGCAGAATAAGAGCATTGTTCAAGAGAGCTCGTTACAGAAGCTAAAACTAATTAATGAGAGCGAATACAGAGTATGGAGTAATTGACAGCAGTAAATTTTATATATATTCTTTTTCTTTACTTGCGTAGACACCACTTACGCGATTTTAGCTGAGTTAATAATAGCGTGGCAATCCTTCCTTCTCTTCGCTCTTTGGCGAAAATTGGAAATACTAAGTTCAGTCAGCTCCTTCGTTACCTAATTTTTCCAACGGTGTAAAGGTCTTCCTCTCCACCAGCGGTACAGATAGCATCAAAGCTTTAGCGTTCTCATCCATTTGAACCACTTGACCCAACCAGCTTAGCAGCTGTCTCCAAGAGGTTAGTATTGCGTACTGCCATTTGAAAGGCTCGGGTTCAAATCGCGGTGTCGTACTAACGTCCAAAAATTTATAGAAAATTAATTTAAATAAAAAATTAATTGCGGTCGCCCCTCGGCACCCCTCCGAGTGTATTTCTGGCATGAAATAAAACTCCACATAAAAAACCAGGAGGCGGCTTAGTATAAACTGTAGGTCCCTCTATTTGTTGGAAAACATCAAGACGCAAAACCACAAATTGGAGGAGGAGCTTGGCGGAAAATCGCTTCAGCGGTTACTAAACCTCAATTATATATATATTATATGCCAATGTCGCCGTATATCTCGTATAACTCATCGCTCCATCAACTGCTGGATCATACGCAAAACTTTTCTTTCAAAAACTCCCAACGCCGATTTATAAGATGTTGCCATCGTACACATTTACGGGAATGATAAGTGACTTGTGGAGTTGGATCTTTGTTTGTGGTGAGTGGAATTTACTTTGGCATCTGCCTGAGATTTCAAGGTTGTAATTTTTGTTGGTGTTTATACTGGCTTTTTGATATACAAAGCTATCTACGTCTTGAAAGTTATGACTGTCAACAGCGACGAGGGAGCCGTTTGTTTGAAGACAGGAGATATTTCGTCTTATCCTCGTTCATTACCAGCAGAACACATGGCGCGGTTGTTAGCGCCACTGATATCAATATCATCGGTGTACGTTTGGTATCGGAGGTTCCGGTGTTGCCGTTCAGCTGTCTACTGCGATTACAGCTCTTCGTTTGTTTTGGACGATTTTTCCTGCACAGAGGCGGGTGCGCATTTTTGCTGCTACAAGCTCATGGACTGAATTGATGTTGGGTTCTCGAAACGTACGTACGTCAAGAACATTTATAAATTATATTTATATAGCGAGTTGCCTGCATCATGACCATCGTCCGCTCACAGCAGCACTTCTGATAAACAGACGCTACAGTTAAACTTCAGCGAACCCTTAAACCGCATATGTCGATGGATCCCTTGAAAATTCTTCTCTATAAGCTTGATTACATCCATCACACGTTGATTATTATTAAAGCTTTAGACTTCTTGGGATTAAGTGTTAGACGTCTAAATCGTCGTGCCGGACTAATGAAACTATGCTAGAAATTGGTTTCTGGACTATAAATGTCATCCCATTCTTTTAGTTGTTAGCTTAAAAAACAGCAACCGCTTTTTTAGAATCCAGAGGAAGAAGTGATGAGACAATGGGATCACTTAAGTAAGTCTAGGTAAGTACAACAATTTTGGCATGTGAGCTAAATGAAGATGAATTGTTCTTTTGAAATTTTCATAGAGCTGGCGACTGACCTCGTAAAAAATCAGCTTAAAGCAAAGATATAGGCAATAGACCTTTATAGTCTATTACATGCCAAAAAATTAGATTAAAAAAGTCAGAACGCTCTCCGATGTTTTTACCTAATATGAATATGGCATTGCCAGACCATTGCAGTGCACTCCATGCAGAACTTATTGCAACCATGAAATCCGCTAAAGCACAGCTGTAGAAGACGAAGAAGAGAAAGAGCCTGTTGAATAATACCTTTGTCACTGTACAGCCTTAATAGCCGCGCTGCACAAGTACTAGGGAAAATTCGTTATTTTGTGTCAATGTGTCGATGACCTAGTTTCAGTTAAATTAAACAATCTGGTATCATTTATAAGCTACACCAAATGGTTTGTGCTTCTTAGGAGTTCTTAGGAACTTCATAGTGGCATTACGAAGAGCAAATTAGAAAAAGGAGCGACAGCAACCATGCTAAGTAGGATTGCAGCCATCTTTCCCCTTGAATATCACACATTAAAATAATAGTTCGAATTAGGAGTTTCGAGCTAAAGTTTCTGTCGGTGTATTTAATGTTCTTTGCGTATTATCACGATCGATAGAACAACAGTAAGTACGAGACTACTGTATATCGCTGGCATAGTGGAAACATTCCCACTTTGAAAGTTATCAATTGAATATTCACTCATGAAGCCGTGAATTGGACTCCTATTTGTTGTAAATACCAGATGTAAAGTTAACCGGCTTCACTGAAGGTACTTCTACAGCGGTTTATTTATTAGGGTAATAACATGAATGAAGGCCCATTATTTAAGTCCCAGCAGTTATAAGCTAATCTATTACAAAAATTTAAAATTCGAATATGGGATATTCCCCGCCGAAGAACGACTGTATTTAGAAATAAATAATATGCCGGTTAAAATTCAATTCTTACTAAAGAATAATCTATTTTTTTTTAATTTTCAAAAATAGAATGCCTCCGAATTCCGACACAGTTCTTTAATTTAACCAACAGCACATGGTATTTGCGATGTTTTTTTGCGAAACTAATCAAATGACAACACTATAAGCATCCTTTTCACGCTATACAAACGAAATGCCGTCTTGAAAAGAGAACAGAGAGTCTAGGCAACAACAAAAACTTACGCGTGGGATGAAAAGCTCACAAGTTGCAGCAGCAAAAGATGAGTTGAGTTGAGTAGAAAAAGGAAAGGAACTGTGGTGAATTTGAAAGTTATGCATTTGAAGGACAAAAATAAAATTAAGGAAATGCTGCAAAATGCTCAACAGACGCGTAAAACTAATGGGAAATATGTATTCGTACAACATTTGTGTTAGCCGAAAGGAGAGCGCGTGTGAGTTTCGAATGCTAGTGGTGAGAGCGCACACGCTGCAACGAAACATCGCATACAAATAGGCGCATTGAAGCATTGAGCTGTCGACAAAGCATATGTATATTGGGGTTCGCAGGATATGTGAGTCTACTGGCCAGTTGAGTATTGGCGTTGATGTTCGTGCGTTGTGGTCGTAGTCGTCGCCGTCGTTGAAGACGTTGTAGTCGCTGTCGGTGTCGTTGACAATTTGCTGTGCTGTGCTGTGCTGTGCTGCGCCGCTGCTGTTGTGGATTTTGTTGGAATTAAAGAAATTGTTTTTCTTTTTTCTTCCTTCGCAACAACAATACTATTACGATTCTTTTTTTTTATACATTTCCTATTAATTCTTCGGTAACAATTTTCACACGGTAGTACCAACTGAAACTCACTGAAATTTAGCAATGGAAAAAAGTTGAATTTGTGGAAAAATGATGATATTTGTGCAATTTGTGTGAGAAAAAAGAGAAAATTATATATTAAATGGCAGCAAAGGATAGGTGAAAGTTGAGTGCTTAACACAGAAAGCAAAGAAAAGAAAAATTGAAAAAATGTGAAAAATTATGTACGAGAATTCTGCGTTTATATTAATTGTGTGTTGTAAGAAAAAAAATATATGTACATACTTACGTACGTGAAAGCTGAAAGGGAGTAAAGGAAATGTGTAACTAATCTATGGTTTTGTGTTACGCTGCCATCATAAACGACGGTAAACATAGGAAGAAAAATACTTAAACAATTATTCAATTTATTCTGTAGTCAAAAAGTTTTTTTTAACAATTAAATTATTTTTATGCATTTTTATAAACCATTTTTTTTTTTTGATTTTATTTTTTTTCTTCTTTCTTTTTATTTTGCATTTCTTTCTAACGCTTTGTTACTCGCTGCTGTTGTAGCAGCGTTTTAGTGTTAGCTGCTCGTTCGGACGGTTGGTCGCTTGGTCGTTTCGTCGTATAGTTGTATGGTCGAAAGGCTGAAAATTTTATAGAGTCCTTGTACTCATTCGTACGTTGGCTCACTTTTGTAGGAGTTCAATATAATATACTATGTATATATGGATATTACACATATAAAAATATATATTTATTTATATATATAAATATATATGTACATATATGCTTCTCTGCATATAGCATAAATATTTTTTCCCAGCTAATACGTCCAACTGTGCGCAACTTCCTGCCAGCCAGCCATTCTCTTACACACTCAATTTCCTCGTACAACCATCAGCCATCCTTCCACCAGCTATTCACCAACCATTCATCCAGTGCCAGCAAAAGCAAAAGTAAAAGCAAAAGATGGTAGTGGCGATGGTGATGATGATGATGATGAGGCCTTAAACAAATGTTAATTTAACAGGGCAAGTGAATAATTAATTTTGAAAGCACCATTGGACCGCAGTGTCCACCGCAGTGCGTAAAAACGACGATCAAAAAAGGTAAAATGAAAATAAACTAATATATATATGTATATATTATTTTATTTATACGTATGACAAAAACAAATACGAGCATAAAGAAATTACTATTCAAAGAAAAATGACAAATAAACATCTTTATGCATATACGTATGAATATATTTGTGTACAAAAGAGCCCTTAAGGGAGTGTAGAAAGTAATGCGCTAAAGTGTGGAAAAATCGAAATATGAGTTAACCAATAAACTTTCGCATAATTACAAAAACGTGCTAAAAACAAATGCTCCTAATTTCCCACCGAAAAATATTTTTGGGCTTTTTATTTCCTCGGCATTCAGTTTTTTACTTCAGTTTGTTAAAATAAAACAAAAGAGAGTTGAATTAAAAATTATAAAAATTAAAAAAATTTTAAACTGCGAAGATGGGGCATAAGCGCGTCTCGATAGACTCATTGACTGTATATTAAATATATATACACATATGTATGTATAGAGCCGTGTGTTGAGCATGAATGGAAATGTATAATTTACCCCCTGCTTCGAAGAACCACGCAAAAATACACACAAACAAATAAATATATATATATACATAATTATATTTCCGTGTGTAGCGCACTCTCACTCGCTGCTATAAAAGGCACACCCATACACCCACAATGTATACACACCCACTATGATGTAAAAAGAATGGAAAATACTGTATGCTCAGCAACTTTGACATACATACACATCCACATGCACAGTATATGGTACAGTGTGGTTCGAAGTTAATTAAACTGCCGAGTTTTCTAAGATTTACCTCACGAGTGATTCCAAGGAGGAACAATGATACAAATTATATACATGTGTGCCACTTATTGTTTCTGAAAAACACTAAAATTGTTTCCAAAATGATATTGTGATTTTGAAATCATAAAGAAATATATTTATTACCTTCGCTAAAATAAAGATAGATTCAATAAAATTAAAAATAAATTAAAAAAAGTAAAATAAAATAAAATAAATAACATAAAAAAGTATAAAATAAATAAATTGAAATTAAATTAAATGCATTAAACTAAAAGAAATATAAATTAAAATAAAATAGAATTAAATAAAACAGAATAAATTAAAGTAAAATAAATTAAAATGAGCAATATAATAAAACAAAATAAAATCAAATAAGATAAAATAAAATAACAATAAAAAGTATTAAATAAAATAACAAAATTAAATTGAGTAAAATAAAATAATGCAATACAAAATAAAATATAAAGAAAATAAGAAAAAATAATATAAAATAAAACGAAATAAAATTACATTAAAAAAAATTAAAAAAGGCTTAGTATATAAAATGAAATAAAATAAGATAAAATAACAAAAAAGTATAAAATGAAATAAAATAAACAAAAAAAAAACAAATAAAATAAAAAATAAGAAAAATTAAATAAACTAAAAAAAAAAAAAATAAAAAAATTAATTAAAATAAAATAATATAAAATGAAATAAGGCAAAAATAAAATAAAATAAAACCAAATAAAATTAAATAAAAAATATTAAAATTAAAATAAAATTAAATAATGCTAAATATATAAATTAAAATGAAATAAAACAAAATAAAATAAAAAAATAAACTTAATAAAATAAAATTAAAAAAATCAAAATAAATTATAAATAAAATAAAAAAATTTAATTTAAAAAAAAAAAAATAATGCTAAATAAATAAAATAAAAAAAAATAAAATAAAATAAAATAAAATAATGCTAAATAAATAAAAAAAAAAAAAATAAAATGATATAAAAAAAAATAAAATAAAATGCAAAAAAAAAAAAAAATTAAAATTTAAAAAAAAAAAAATAATGCTAAATATATAAAATAAAATAAAACTAAATGAGATAAAATAAACAAAAAATTTAGGAAATAAAATAAAACAAATAAAATAAAATAAAATAAAAAAGGTTAAATAAAATAAAATAAGTAACATAAAATAAATTAAAAACAATTTAAAGAAAGTAAAGGAAAATAAAATAAAATCAAATAAAGTGAAAGGAAATAAAATTAAGAAAAATAAAATCAAATAAAGTGAAAGGAAATAAAATAAAACATAAGAAATTTAAATGAAATAAAATAACTCAAGATTAAATAACAAAAAAAAAAAAATAAGATTAAATTAAATAAATAAATTTAATTTAATCAAATAAAAAAAAAAGTAAGTTAAAATGAAGCAAAATGAAATGATATAAAATAAAAATAGCAAATATGTAATTATAATGGTTTTAATATGCAGGTTGTTTTAAAGAAAATGTTAGAAACTCCTCTTACTTTGTATGTATTAAAAAAAAAGACAGCTAGCGTGTTTGTGTACTCTTAATACCCATTCAAAGCTCATAAAATGGCATTTTTAGAAAACTCGTCAGTGCTCTAAAAATGTTTGCACCTACGCCAACGTCAACAACACTACAAACAAATATTTATTGTGAATACATAAAAGCGAGAGAGTTTGGGTATAAAGCACAAAGCACGCGAAACTGCTGTTACAGCTGCTGCATTGCTGCAGAAAAAAGGTGGGTCAAGTGCAGAGCAGAGTGCTGAATGGAATTGGCAAAATGGTGAATGCCAAGAAGGTCCGAAAATTTATAACACACATACATAAAAATACATATACCAATGTATGTAAATATGTATAAATGAAAAATGTGTTTCAAGAAGCTCATATCAAGTAAAGTTTTTATGTACATATGTATGTATATACATATATGCTCACATACGCTTGAAATAAAACCTATTTGTGTGCAAATAAACCAACTTCACTTAGGGACCCACCACGTCTTTATCGCAGTAAATTTACTACAAAAAAAAAAAAAAACGGTGACATTATTATAAGCATTAAATCATAAGTAAAACAAGCCTCGGCCAAAAGATATTGCCTTTAGTGACCTAAATATGTTTAGAAAAATTCTTTTTTGTAGCTTTTTCCATATATTGTATTTATACAAATATACATATAAGTGACTTATTATTATATAAAAGAAAAGTAGTCAAGAAATATTGTAAACGTATATGCGAAGACATGTCTGATGGGGCAGCAGCCAATGATAAATTTATGTTGAGGTTATGCCCAGTTTCATAAATTATCAAAACGCCTGCAGCAGGACATGATACTCTTGTACAATATGAGCGCGAATTTATGCTCATAACAGCGTACAAGTGAGCTTAGTAAAGCAAAGCCATAACCACACCAGCGCACATACATCCTCGTATGTATTGTCATGACACTCATACCTACCTATGTGTGCGTGTGTGAGAAGGTTCATAATGCAAACAACAAATTCGCCAGCCTGCATGTACGCGAAAATGAAATTTATGCCCCGACGTATTATATATACACACATACTCACAAGTACTATACATCTTGTACGCTTGTGAATATGAATAGAGCAGTATTGGCCTCTGTCTTCGCATCTACAGCCAACATAAACTTTGATGTTGCTTGCCATAAGCGCCGCTGTTGCTACTGATTTTGTTTGCTTACTATGTTAGTGTGTTACTGTTGTTGGCACATTTGCTGTAATATCAGCACATAACAATAGCAACAATGTAAGCTTAGTATGCTCTTCAATTCATTGGACCCAACTTTGCATTGACATAACTTCACCATACTCGTGTAAAACATGCATACATACATACATACATACATACTTACTTAGTTGTACGGCAGATCAGAATCCGTTATATTTGTGGGCAGTTCCATGGATTCTTATTTTTAAATAAGAGAAGAATGCTCTCATCCTGTGACATAGTTACTCGATCCGCTGATAGAAACTTGATACATAATCGTCTTTCACATAGAAATTCTCTAGAGAGGATTGCTCAACGCGCAGGACAATTTTTCTACTCTGCCAACATTTTTCAAACAGCTGACCGCATGAGATAGTTCAGCAGCTATACATCAAAACAAAGCATAGCTCCACTATGAGAGCGAAATCTAAGAGGGCCTGACCTGTCATGCGTATCAAGAGACAATGTGGCTCTCGCCGGTTCTCTATAAACTAACAAAAGACGATATCGCGATGATATCTTGTAAAACTCATCATTCGATTGTCTATGGTTTTCACCGTTGACAACGGTATCGTTTGCGCTTCTGAGATATTTTCCAAGACGGGAATGAGAAGGGGCTTGTCGAGTTTAAACTTTGTTCGTTGATAGAGTACTTTGCTTTTAAAGAGGAAAGAGTGATCCGCGTAATACTTCAAAGCTGTCATTGATATTGGTGATAGTTCTGGTCCCTTGATAGATGAAATTATTTACAGCTCTA